TTTTTTTAATTCTTAGTTTTGTATAGTAAAATATTTCTAATGTTCAACTGAGTGTGAATTTAAAGATTGTAATTACAACATTCACATGCTGATAAAAATGACAACACGACACGTTTCGACTGGACGATTGCAATGAAATAAATGCCCTGATTCACATTTTAAATGCATTAAAGACCTAACATGCGTCAGTCAGTGAGTGGTGTGTGTTACAATGCCTAATTACTAGCTTGCATTCATGTCAGATACGCTAAATAAACTGTTTATATGGTTGCTTTGCCTAATATCATATAACCATATAATAAGACATAAATAAAGAAATAAAAAACTTTTAAACAATCCAAATCTTTTCTGTAATAGTAAATTAAATAGCATTTACATTGATGTCGAAATTGAATTCAGGTCAAAAACGGGTCGACATTTTTGAGAAAAAAAATTTCGTCACAGAACCAGTATTATTTTGAAGGACGATATTGACTAATATTTAGCTACTTTCTCAGTGCAAAATTCATCCGATGACGAAAAGCTTGTTTTGAAAACTAGTTCGTAATTGACAAAAGTCCTTAGTCGAAAAAGATCACAACAACACAATATCTTTTAGCAACAAACAGTGTATGATCTTAACAATAAATATTTTTGATGTATTAAATACATTAAAAAAAAAACATTAAAAATATGCAAACTGTCGCACTCAGCCCATTGATGGTCAGTAAGGTACACGCAGTACATATTTAGTACCATAGATGGTCACCAAGGGGCTGCTTAAGTTACCGTTATACCATTAAACTCCATTGTCTCTCACTCTAACCATTTCTGTCAAATTCTAGTTGGGTTGTTGGGGGTTAAATATTTTAACGGTCTTATATTAGTTAAAAGTCAAAGCTGTTAAAAGCATAATCAAGTATAAGAGTGTATACTCCAGTGGAAAGCGTAATAATTTGCATTTATAAATCTGACAAATAATTTTATCATTATAATGCAGTTAGGTTTACAGATGAATATTCTCATAAAAAACACAATGTTTCGCTTACAATGAGAAAACTTAAACATATACAATGTAATTGTTAGCTTGCAGGTAAGTATATGTAGAAACACAAAAAGTCTAGGTATGATTAATTAATGTAAATTTGGATAAAAAAATTGGATATCTAAAGCCCCTTTTACATCAGAAATCCCCTTTGTTCTCAGAGTATTGATATAAAAAGAGAGCGCATTCAAATGCTAAATCCCATGGACTGCGGGAATATCACGATCCAGTTTTACGCAATTAATAGTAAGCATTATTAGTTCTAGAAAATTAGTCGGACTAATCCAGGAATCAAATGAAAATATATGCAATATTAAATTTCCTTCAAATATAATATAATAAAGTAATGTGAAATGTGACTCAATATAATCCTATAATCCTGTCAGCATACAACTTAAAAAAAATATTATGTGTAATATATGTATGTTTAACTAATTTTGGAAAGAAATTTATTGAATTCCAAAACTGCTGAATAATAGTGATATAAAAACGAATTAAATTACTATGTAATCTACAATATTGGGACGTTATTTCGAAAATATGCATGGTTTTTTTATTTTAATAATTATCAGGTCGCACTTTCAATGTCCTTAATTGATTAATGATTTTTTACGACAATGCTTGTCTACGCATATGTTTTTAAATTTTTATGATAATCTTCCCTTCAAATAAACAAAATGATGTACATCTTAAATGTATTAAACAGCTTTACATAAAACATAATACTTTTATCCCTCCATTCTCACGGGCGCTTTTATAGTGCGCTTTAACCAAGCGTTGAAATAGAAAAAAAAAAACATCCATCCATCCATCCATCTAAACTTTCGCATTTATAATATTAGTATGATGTCAATTTTCATTGTCGAAAAAATAAAAACATATATTGTCATATTAATCATTTATTTTGAAATAACGAAGACAAAAGTAAGTTTTAACATAAATTTTATGTCCGTGGAATTGTGCGTGGGCGTCGCTAATCAATGGAAACGCGAATAAACACACGATTTCAAATCTTTACCTTTTTTTTTTTCTCCGAGTCAAACTTGTTAGAAATATTGCAATAAAAATTTCACAAAAACGAGTAAGCGCTAATAAGACATATTTCGTCTTATATTACGTTTGTGTAATTTGGTAACATTTTTATGATGATTGAGAATTCCTATCATACATTTTAATTTTGAATTTTACATCCGAAAATGGTTGTTGTATAAACTGCATATAAAGTTCATAACAAAGTGGCGAATTTTGGAAATAATCGTATGCGATTTTGGGCAATAAATATTAATCCTTTTAGATGAATATAAAACAAACACAAGTTTATGTAATAAAATGAACGAGATAATCTACTATACAAACAATTTAGTAAATGACTAGTTATATAAGATACAATTGCTATTAGATTTTGATAAAAATACACTCTCGTATTTGTATAGAGGTTACATGTTGCGTAACAAGAGTTGGTATATTCCCAAAATTATTGTATTACATTATTTCTAAATGCTTGTAGTACTAAGTCTAAGTAAATCTTAACGCTTCGAAAACACTATACGTGATTGAAAACTTGCTTTTCTTTAGTTTAGTTTGTTTAGCTTAGAACTTCGTAACTTTTTATAAAGAACATCCGGAACGCTCGAGTACGTACTCAAGTATAGTAGTAATGTTTGCTCTCTTTTCGAATAATTATATTTTAAAATACATCATAGACAAAGTTGCTAAAAGAGAAAGTGTAATAGTTGTCTTTTTATACCTCAATTGAGAGTTAGCGAAAGTCAATTATATATCGTGTACTTATAATTATTACTAACTTCTGCACGCGACTCCGTCCGAGTGGAATTAAGGAAATCAAGTAAAAGTAAGTATAGTCTATGTGTTCCTCCAGACTTTGCTCTACAACTATCCAAACTTCATCAATATCCACTTAAAAGTATAGGCGGTAAATTGTGAGAAACATCCATCCAAACAAATTTTCCAATATATGAGTAGTAAGATTATAACGACAATTATGTTATTAAGGTGACAGAGTCTTGATGGTTGAAATTTTGAAACGACATTAAAAATAATTATGCAACAGCGTTTTTATTGATAAAGTCACGCTACACTAAGTTCCATTAAATTTTTGATTTCTGTCATATTATAAACGGCGCTTTGAAAGTGTTTATGATTCGTTTCAGAAAACGGCTGATAGTTGCTCTCAGTAAACTTGTTATAATTTTTTTTCTTTATTACGATTGAAATTGCCAAACTACTCTTAGGCAAATTTTAGTCATGATTATATGGTCACTGAATATTAAAGTAAATAGGTTTTATTGCATTCAGAACCACATTAACACCAGGGTGAATTTTTCAATATCTATTAATATTAAATTCAGTTGTAAAACTCTTGAGCAAGTTCGATGAAGTTTTATTACATGAACTGCGATCCTTTAGATTTTACACTTCGTCCGCAGATTTCAAACAAATTGAAACTGGATATTATTCCTTTCAATGTCTACTTCTTATTTCCATTTCGTTGAGTGCTCGTCGCAGCAAAGAGTGATATTCTTTACTTACAAGACATGAAATAATATTTAAAACTATTTCACTTTCTCTACCTAATGTCTATAGAAATTTTGATTTTGAAAAATACTAGATTAATATTTCTAGACATTCTACTCGTATTCTACTAAAATTATCTATTAGTAATAGTATATAGTAAGATTAAATGTTATTTTATTTTTATTTTTATTTTTTTTATTCTGATTTACAATCGAGCGAAAGTAGGAAGCCTGTGAATCTAGGCTACGTAATTATTTGCACATTATAACCTGTGAATTAATTACACCATTGGGAAAATTTTAATTATAGACACTATTATGTACATATTTTTACAAGATATTACGAGTTTCACTTACGGCCAAAATCAATATTCGACCTCGAATCGCTTTTGATTGTATTTCATCCATTTGGTTCTTAATCGACCTCATGAGCGACACCAGTCTGTGACCTAGTCTAGGTATGGGATAAGCTACCATTAATATTGCCTAACTCGAAGTAATATTAATATCTATTATTAGGTTGCAACTACAACTACTTCCTGCCCTTCCTTTTATAAAACCGCAGGCAAAGTCGTGAACAAAATCTATCTATTTATGATCTATCGTTGAGAGCAATGAAATATTTTTTATACTTCATTTATTGCAATTTAAATTTATTACAAAGTAAATAAATCAATTATCAGATCGAATTTTATATTCGTCCGTAAAAAAGTGAAATAAAAATGTAACTAACATGCAATCAAAACTTTAATGGACTTAAAGTTAAAACCGACAAACTTCATAACTTGCGTGTTATAAATAGTGTAAATTGCTTTAAAGTAGAGATCGGTCTCATAACTTATTAAGGAACTCATCTGGTAGTCGGACCAACAGACTAATTAGATGTTCACAAAAAACAACTGCAAATTATTTATGGAAATTTCAGGTCATCTACTTCTATGTCTTGTATGCTTATTGTTGTTTAAAATTTACAATGCAGTTATGAAAACCAAATTGTTTAATTAAAGGAACATTAATTATGGTCGAAACGTAATAATTGTAAAGCACAGCAACCAAACGGCAGCACGGCATCCTTCTCTAAACGGAATTTTAAAAGATATTTTTTAAAGAACATAATTTTTATATTAAATTCTAGTCACATAGTTGTTTCTTACTAATAAAACTGTACTTCATTGACTTCGACTAACGTTATTCGTTAATTTAAATCATAACCATATCAAATTATACAAAATTACTGTTAGACAATGATGTCTCAGATTATATAAGGATATTTATAAGTAACTGACATAATGAAATCCTAAATCAACCGGATTAATCTAATCTTCAAGCTAAAATGTTTAAAGTGATCTACATATTCAATGTCCTGACACGTTGCCACTTACTAAATACGAGATTCATGTCACGGAACACGAAATATCGATTTAAAGACATGATGGTAGGTGGGGCAAAGTGGTGACCATCGAGCGATCGTTGGTGGTGGTCAGTATCTGTTACAAGTGGTAGCGAACGCGCGTCGGTGAAGGAGTGCCTTTTCGAAACCAGCAGTCGTAAGTTTTTCTTAACAGTATCTTAAAATGGATCTCCACCTGTATTAAAAAATTATTGTCTTTTCTCTCCTTTTTTAAAAAACAGAGATAGCAATAGTGTTCGTATGCAATGTCACATTTGACATTTACGGTTACGAATTTATGTTTGTTAAACGGTGATGGTTAACGTTCTTGTTGAATTTCTGCGCTCTTTATGCTTGGCGAGTTTATTTATATTTGGCGAATTTGTCATTAGCTATATCTATAGTATCGATTTTGTGAACCAAGAGATAGAGACAATACGTCCTATTTAGTACTATTTAACTGTTAATTTTTTATTACAAACAAAAAAACATTAAAATGTAATTAAACCCTATGTGGATGACATATTGTTTCTAATACATTAGCTTTAAGTTTCAATAAATAATTCACATTAAAAAACTTAAGAAGTCCACAAATGACTTCTATCGCTTTACCGCATGTTTTTGAGTTCTTTTTAATTTTGTCTTGTTTGAATATTGTCTTAAGATTTTGGTTTTAAGTATTGTTTTTATATTTCATTAAAATGAGTAAACGCATCCTCGACATTAATTTTAACAATGTCAAATATTACATATTTCTTTACAAAGACGTACAAAGCTTTGGCTTCAAAAATTAAAAAAATGATAACACATAGGCTTATTCTAGTAAAGTTTAGTCATAATGTTTACATGAGCCATGCTGCGTACGCGCTATTGCGTGTAACAGTTAATAACAAACTATGCACTTTCGCTTGGAACATCTGCTTCTCGTCATGCATAACGTTTACGTAAACCTAAACAGCTATATAACTTAAGTACAAGTTTTACATCCACAATCATACATGTCAGTTACAGCATTAAAACTAAAAAAAATCCAGTTTCAACTTATCCTTTAAGTGTCACTAGATGGCGTTGTAAGCAGAAACAATGAGTGTGACCTTGGTCAGGAATAATAACCTTCGGAGATTATGAAAGAAATGTAACGTAACGTTTAAAATTGAGGGATGATCATCCCAAAGGATTTCGATAATCCAAACTAATACAACATGGCTAATGTATGTTCTGGATCCGCAAATCAACATAATAAATACTATAAGACCGAGCGGTTATGGATTAGTAGTATATGTAAATATTTTAAAATCGTCAAAACTTTGTCAATTTATTTTACGATATAAAAACGTAGTTTCCTTTAAATTTTTATTAATTGATTTTTACTACATAAATTAAATAACAAAGTGGAACAAGGCAAGCGGGAAAGGCTTTTGGTGTCTTTTTGAATTCTAGAACGACAAGTAAACGCAGAGGAAATTTCGAAATCACGTGCGCCAGTAAGAACCTGATTTTGTGAATGTACAAACTCATTATATCAAAACTGTAGAAATCAAAATCTATGTTTGCCTTCATGTCGTTTCTAAGCCACTGGACAGAATATGATGTAACTAGGCAAAATGTTTGGAGGGCGTCAAAAACAAAAAAAATCGTTTCTGGTTAGCTACTGTTAATGGCAATTAAAAACTGGCGCAATCATTGCTGATAGATTTCTCTTACTAAATCTTCACTAAGGGAAACTCACTTAACCCTGGGTGCGGCAGTTCCGACACCATTACAACACATGTCCGGTTCAGCTATTCAAAGATTTCGAATCGATAGTCACATGTTTTACAATTCTCGGACGTTCTCAATCGATTTCGTTGAAATAAAACACTTAGCGTGTATTTAGTTCAATTGAATAGAAAATGTATTAGTGTCACGTCAACAGTAGATATAAAATGCTAGAAAATAACACTTCGAGAGAATTGAATAGCACGAAAGCAACACTGCAGAATACAAATCATCAGGCCCTACTCCGCGCCAGAAATGCGGAAGCGATGATTACGAAAGCGCAAACTCGCGCACTGTATGTAATTTCACTAAGTACCTAGCTCCGGCTGAACCCACGTATCTGCCATAATAATGCCCACTACTCATTTTTATGCAATACATAATTACATTTTGACTATTTTACTAACCAGTCTTCGCGCTTTACTTTTTATGTTTATCATTATAAAAGGTGACCCAATACACCTACGAAGATTTGTCTGTTAGTAAATTCAACTAACGGTCATAATGGTACTAATACCGACAGCAGCGCCACCAAGCGTCTGTAGTCAACGTCATTTTGTGAAGTGATTCGTTTGATATATGCAATTTACCGAACCGGACGATGTTAAAGATTTGATGGTGACATATTTAAATGATTCCACTAGAAGAAATACAAAAGCACCTTTAACGATTTAGTAGTTCGATTATACACCTATATCAATAATAAAATAATATATTCATATTGTTCAAATAGAATTGTCTTCTTCACAATTATTGGGCCAATAAGAAATTAAACAAACAACTCATACGGTGAATAAACACGTGTAGTCGATTTATAAATGGAAATAAAGAAATCTAGTCTTTATTAACATGCTTCGTTTATTTTAGACCGCCAATTCACAAAGCGGTCCTCGTGGTCTTTTCGGTTTACGATATTAAACATAAACGTGATGATTCACGTTGAAGAAGAGATGTAGAAAGGGGATTTATGGAGCCAGTAACATATTAAAAAGGATCTCCAAAAAAGTTTGAGAATCTCTGATCTGGATTCAAATATTCGTATATCAATGAGTGAATGAACTCGACCATACCGCTACTTGTTTTAACCAAATATGTTAAATACCCATTAACATAGATTCTTTATCTTATAAGTGAGCATTTAGCATAACATTAAAACAATTTCCATTTTGTTAGCAGATTTCAATTACATACATTTAGAAACATAATTAATTGTTGCCTCTTGAATAATAGGAATACGTAGTTACCTGTTGTAAAAAAACCAAAGGCGGACTAGTTATTAAGAGCCGGTAAAATTAACTCAGTTGAAAAAAAAAATTACGCCTGCCAATTGAATCGGAAAGAAATTGTTCAAATATATTGCAATACTATTTGATGAAAGAGTGGGAATCCATTTACAGAAATCTTATTAATTTTTATTTTTAATACCTACATTAACAGATTAAACACCACAATAAATACTTAATATATTATTCATGTGTGTGAATTAAATTGTTTGTAGAGAAATTCTTTATCAAACGTGTCAAGTTTTACAATTTGTATGATTTTACATTTCATAGGAATTTATTTATTCATAGAAATTGCTTCATGATTGAGATGAAAATAGCTACAAGCTTCTTAGACGTTTGAAATTGCACGAAATGGTTGCCAATTAGTAAGACTTAACTCGTAGAGGTATCTTTTTAACAAAGCGATTCGAACATAGATTATGCAATTATAGAGGGGAAAATAGAAGGACTTTCCTTAAAGCTATATAAACGTACCGTCAAACATCATTATATTCATAACATCAACACAATTACATTTTAAATAAATGTACATTAAAAATAGGGAATTTGAAATACAGACTCGGAGCCTACCCTAAGTTAGGGGTGACTAGGCCATCGCCAGACGAGTCGCGAATTAAGTAATATTTGATAATATAAAATGCAACATAATCCACTCATAAAATAGTACGAAAATAATATCAAAAATACAGAAAAAAATGAAAAAAACTAGAAAATGATTTTCAAAGCAGACGTGGAAAACGCATGGTTTGGTAAAAAAAAGAAACTTAACTCTACCTTTAACTTTCCTAAAGAAATGTTAATTCCCATTAAAAATAAAAAATGTGCGGCTATTTAAAAAAAGCCGTTACGCACTGCTTAAATTATTTAATAAGAAAAAAAAAACTTTCAGACATTCAGCTAATGTAAGATAACGAGCTACTTTTTCTTTTGACTGTATGTCGCTGGTAATGCAAATAAAACGACGTATTACTCGAGCAATTACTTTAAATATATTAAGAATATTTTAAGAAATGTCAATTCCTAACGCCTATGCTTCCGGCACATAGATCCACTATTAGGAGAGGTTTAGGACATAGAGACAGGCAGCCAGTAAAACCTTTCGATTTCAAGGGAACCCAAAACATATTTACAAGCTTTATGTACCTTATTTTTACATTTACTGTCACAAAATTCACGTTCATCCTTAAAAAGGGATACATACATAGTTATCGCATTACGTGTATAATATAACCGAAAAGATATCATCTCTATAACATCATTATCAACCACATTACCACTAGACTTAATTGTTGATTACACTTTAATGTGGTGTACATTTTCTTTTCCAATCCGGTAATAATAACGAAGTAACGGCTTGTGCCGAGGCTCTTAAGGGAGCCCTCGAGCTTAGTTACTCATAAACGAGGTTTAGGCTAAGCGCCATCTGTGCTCAGCCACCTCAAGCGCGGTGAATCTGTAAATGCCTCTTCAAGACAAATAGTGGCCATTCAGTCACAAAAAAAAAATATTTAATGTTGTACTTTTACTTATTTCCGCGTGAGACACTATTTAATTACACATGTCTCATCAGACAAGCGTTCTAATGTCATACCGGTGTCCGTGATTAATAACTCGTGTTTGACGCTAGTTGAATTTGATACAATTACTCGTAGATTTGGAATTTACATGTTAACATGACGTTATGTAAAACCGTGTTTCGTCCATCAGTGATCGTGCCACATTCATGAATATTCATCAACTTCGGACTCTGATACACTGCATTAGTCAAGGTCTATCAAAATTAAGTTGGGTTCGTTCATACGTTTTGCTTTGATTATTTTTATGTTTATCCGGAAAGCAATTAAACTTGACACGAAACAACTTTTGAATTCTAGATGCATCTTCATTATACATGTACACAAAATACGACAGTTTTTTTTTTATACTTGAGCGCAGCAAATGACTTGTTTTGTTGTCTTATAGTTGTCTGCAATAGTCATATTTATTTTCATATCATCAATATTGATTCTGATATTTTAAAATAGTTCACATAATAATGTTTTTCATAATAAAAACATCAAGCCAACTAACAAAGCAGGCGTTACACAAGAAATATATTTTGTGCTTGAGAAAAACACGTATAAAAGCTCGCTGTTATGACGTAGGTTTATTAACCGTTTGAATGCCTAACCAATATTTCTTTAACGTTACTTTTTTATCTAAATTATTGGTATATTAGTATAGTTTGATAATTAAAATGACCAAAATTAATTGATTATTATTTATTTATTACGTGTATTTGAAATTAATAAGGGCATACTTTTGTGAAGTAGTCAACGTCGTACAAAACTTTTCGTCGCTTGTCATTTATTTGTCTACGGCAGTCAAAAGGTTAATAAAGACTCGAGTAGACTCTAAAGACTCAAAGGTTTTCGATTCCCATAATAAGACGCGATAACGACGCTTTTCTCAGAAATCATATATAATTAGATGTTTTTCACAATTTTATTTTTAATGATTACGTGTTATACCATCTTTGCTTGACTGGCAGGAAAGTATGTTTTTTGGTAAATATGAGAGTATGTTTGTACCAGTGTTTGTATGTATTTCAACTTCATTGTGACTTGTAGCCTAAGCGATTGGCCAATTTTGACAATTGAGAAGTCAAGATTATTAGTATTTCCTACATTACAGAATAGACATTGTAAGAAAGTGGGTTATCGGAAAACAAATAACATTAAAAAGCAGCAAAATTAACACAATCTGTTCTTTAAACTGTAATGATGTGTTACATATTATATAACCAATACGTTCATATGAAATCGAAAGTGCATCAAAGTATAAAACGAGCAAGCGTGCGTATCGCTCTAATTGTTATTGTAAAACGGATATTATGTAAACGATCAAACTTATTTCTGAAAGATAGTTTCGTAAAAGCCTAGAATTATTATGACACATGTATCGATGTACTCTTGACCTTCATTCATCTTAATCGACTTCGTTGGTTTGTTATTGAAATAAAAACTAAGCAAATCATTAATCTATTCCAGCCTGTAATCTATCTCTGTTCAGAATCTCATCTTGTTCAATTTAGTTCTGGAGTTATTTGGTAACAAACATTCTCATTTACATTATTAAGTGAGATTGATAACAATGATCACTACATTAATGTAGGTGAAAGTAGTGGCATTTTTGTATTATTATACAGAACGTAGGAAAGCAAACTAAAATGTCCCCAACATAAAAAATCATAATCAAAAGGAAATTAATAAAAAATATGTAAGCATTCGACTGTTATCGACAGAGACTTCTTATTTTGTTCTTAAACCTCTTATTTAGTAAATTAACCATCGTTAATCAACATCCTTTCGCTTCGATTATTTTTTCATGTACCAAAATGTTTTTAATCGACTGATTTCGGTTGCCCTTTGTTTTCTTCAATCTATCGAAATACCTGTCTTTTGTCTTAAAAAAAAAATAAGAAACGAAAATTTATTTTAAGATCAGAAAACATTTTCAAACATAATTTTGAAGTAGATCTGGCTGGTCAGTTGAGCGAACATTTCGGATTAAAAAATGTTGATCCATACACGATGCCATACTGTTGTTTTTAAGTTAAATTAAAACTCTGATTTTCGTATCTTCCTCATCAAACAAATTAACGTGACGAGAGTACCGTGACACAGTCGTCGCGGGCGAGGTGTCTTGGCTACAACCGGTAAAACTATGAGGCGACTTTCACTTTTATGTTGGTGAGATAACGACTACAATGTCGCGTTTAACTGCCTCGTAGTTACGGCTTTCGTTCATCCCAACTAATAATAGCGCTCGTCGAAATATTAACGTAATTGTTGTAATATGATATATTTGGATGAAAAACTGATGCTGTCGCCATCATGGTTTTGTTAATTTTTCCAGATGAATAACTGTGAAGACACAGAAAGTTGGAAAATGAGTTAATTCAATATGCTGCGTTTTATATCGAAATATTTTCTAGAAATCCTAATTCTAATTAAGATAGTTGTTGTTTATGTTAAACGAAATTCTTACCTTCCCTTGTTTGCTATTTATTGTAAATACGTTTGAAAAGATTGATTTGTAGGCACAATGCACTATTTCCATTTCCATTTAACATAAGCTTGTGTTGTGTATAAAGTCTGCACCGTGCATTATTATCCCTTCCGGCTCGAGTAGAAAACAAGACGTTATCTCTAGTTTTTTCCACACATACAATATAAATGTATATTAAATCACTTCCTTATTTCATATTGTAAGACTTTCTCTGTCATTATTCAATATACTTGATGTCGGAATATAATTTTATTTAGCTACGGAATCACCATTGCGATTAGTGTCGATAAAATTGTGGTTGCATTAAAACTTTTTATTATATCATACAAGTTTCACTGCTATCGTATATTGGACAGAACCGTGATCAAGTTCTCAATCAGTTCCTGTTTCTATCATTTAATTCTTCTTAAAAAATATCGATAGTTACTTCTTTATGAAAATTTTCCGTAACAAAATAACATTTTCAACTTAGAACTAATTGACCATTAACATGACTAACATTGTTAGAAAAACAGGAATCAATAAATAATAAGTAAAAGATAGAAATGTATAGAGAAAATCTAAATTATGAGAAAACAAGGAAATATTAAAGCTTTACTAGAATAAGATGGTTTACTGGAAATTGTAAAGTTGTATAATACAGCAAATAGCAGAAAACATAGAACAAAGGAAAGGACGGCGGAACATAAGTTGTAGTGAACGGAGGTAATTCCACGGAAACGTATCAGAAAACAATTTTCTCATTGCAAATAATCTCTTCGGATACAAAGAGGAGGGCCGAGGCAAGTATGGGTGGATTGCGTGAAAGACAATTTGACGATAGAGACATGATATATGGAAGAGCAGTATATACTGTGTGTATAAAAAAATGACGAATTTCTTTGATTGCTTTATTCTGTCTATGAAAATCCTGGAAATCTGGTCATCATAATCGCTCACCTAAGTTAAAAACATAAGTTTTTTTTAGAAAAAAGTAATAAATTACACGTTTTAAATTGCTTCGTTATTTGCAGTTAGTAAAAGTCGAATTTCGGAGAAAATTACTACGTCAAAGGAGTAGTTTTTTAAAATAAAATCCCCGCTTTGCGAGCTAACATCCTCATGTTACCTAGCGAAATATGAAAATAGAATAATATTGCACTGTTCAATTTGAGAACAAAGTTAACGTCGTATTTCAAGTAGTCTTATTTATTTGTATTATCTGAATATCTTAGCTTGTAATGTGCATCGGTACATATGTACTATGATGTATTCGAGTAGTGTTTGGAAAATGTTTTACTTTCGACTAGGGAACTTAATTTCAAATACTGTACGTCCTTTCACGTATGATACAAAACGTATCATTTGTACGAACCTCTCAAAATTTTTCCATCTATCAAGTAAACAGCTAGGCTTATAGCATTAAATCTAAGAAGTAGCATACTCTGCGTTTTCTATTCTTACGCTCTCTACCCGCTACGCATCAATTTTACGGAAATAGATTTGAAAACGAGCAATCGGCCACATGTATTCTCTAAATATCAAAACATCTTCTGCTTCCGCGCTACTTCGCTTTCCCATCCTTATAAATTAATTGTTACCATTAAATTGTTTTCAGATAATGAGAGTGTTCTTGCTGTGCCTCTTGTTAGAGATTGTTTGGAGTCGGGAGAGCGACTGGCAACCCATTGTACCTGAACCCTCCCAAACCTACACAAGCTATGCTAATCTCGCTGATAGATCTTTAGAAGCTGGGTAAGTATGAACTTATTACAGATTAACTGAACATTTTAATACCAAAATAGAACCTCGTCAAAATTCTACATAATTAATTAACTATTATATGTTTTAAGCATGCATAAAGTTACATTGAATCTGAGAAACGTTTTTATTTCGAAGATTTTTTTACACTGATACTAAAATGTATGGCACCCTCAAAACAACCTACCAAATACTACCCATGATAGGGGCGGGGCTGTCGATACATATGTCGTCCGCCATCCCGGGACAGCGAAAAATGGATTTACATAAACATTGAATTTAAACAGTTGCATTTTCTTCAAGTTCTTGATCGTAAATCTGACGATTTAACATAACTTACCTACCTTCAAATTTTATGAGCTATTTTAAATTTATTGAAATATCACAAAAACTTTTAAAACAGATGAACGGAGAAAAGAAATCCGCTTAAGCTAAGAGCCAACATTATTTTAATTAGTAGACTAATCAAAGAGGATAAAGAAGCAAGGGGAAAAATACTAAAAATCTGTTGTTTACATTTTTATCCGTACCTTCAGCCTTCATTAGCACTGGTAACTTAAAACGCTCAAGCTTTTTTAATGCTCTCGATTATACGAACGCTTTAAAATCGCTCTTGTTACGTTCGCATATCGTTCAAAATGGGTCACTGTGCAATAAAATATTCCTTTATTAAACAAACATTTAGTTGTCATAACAATTAAATTAATTAATAACGAATAATTGTTGTTGTAAAAACAATTATTCGTTATTCAACTGTTTTCATTATAGAACTGAATGGACTATCAAAATGTATTTGTAAATCAATCGCCGTAGTCGTCAGCAACAGAAACTGATACCTCAAAGGCCTGTACAGAGTGGTCCTTTATATAGGCTCACTATATGTAAATGTCATTAATATCGACAGTTCTGGATAAGACGCATGCAATCGTATCGATTTCAAAGCCTACCCTCGATGTATTAATCAAGCTAGACTATCTGATCCCCGAAGCTATAGTCGTTAAGGGTTTGTTTGCCATTAAACCTAGATCCAGTCTAATATGAACGTTTACAAACGCGCGCTTTTGCAAACGTGAACGCCCCAAAGAAAAATAAATACAAACTGCTTTCAGTCAGTGAAATGTGTAATTACAATTTCTCATTTCCTCTGAATTTAAACATATAAATATTTTTCGAATTCTGGTAAGCTTAACAAAGATTAAGCTTCAAGCTTAATAAAGCCAAAACGATGTCCAATTTTATATTACCGTAAAACATTGATTTTTTTTCTTATGTTCGTTACAGCATTGATAAAATTTTTTAGACACTGACAATTCACGACCGGCGATTCGAGAAATAATTCAATTTACATGCATCGCAGTCTCTGTCATTGTGTTATCGATATTACTCACATCACCCTAAAATTAATTAACGCGCTGTGATTCACGATAGGGTTGAAACATGTTTTCACTCTGCCTGATGCGGTTGTATTGTTGCATATTTGCGCATCTATTGTGTATTGTGTGCAAACATATTGCCGTCCGTCCCTAAATCAATAGACAAATTTTGATGAAACTTTTGGTAGGGTGTTCTGACGCTAGGTTTGTTGGCCAAAAAAATAAATAAAAACACTATGAATCTTTTTATTTGCACTATTAAATTGTTTAGTTTTATTTAAACTCTTAAAATTTACAAGTTATTAATATGGAATTAATATCAAATATCACACTGAATGAGCACAATATTATTAACAAAAACTTAAATAGGGAACAGAAAGAGTTCTTTTTCCACGTGAACTGAGAATAAGTCACTGTTAAATTCGACGGAAGTATTAATATTAAGAAGTCCTATATCCAGTGAAACGCAGGCTGATGGAAATTGTACAATAAGGCAACGTTAAAGATTTGAACTAAATAATATATTTTCATTGTTTCAGACCACAACTTAAGATATTAAATAGAAGACCAATACATGCATCGCACACAACAAATAAGCTAACCAGTTTCTACAATGTCGCATCAGCGCCCTCTACAGATACGTGCAGTGTTTATAAAGTATCGATGAATCAAGAACTGCTTTATCAATATTTGGAATATGATAAACTATTACCCGATCTAAAAGAATTCACTCTCTGCATGTGGACTAAATTTCATAATCATTCTCAAGATCATCCACTATTTTCTTATGCAGGTAAGTTGTATAAATATTACTTGTATTTTGCGTATTTTAAAACGAAATACAGTTGTTTTTTTATGTTTGTTAAGTTAGCGCTTGACCACGATACCACCTGAAGAAAGTAATAATGCAGTCGAAAGTTTAATTAAAAATAAATGTGTGTAAAATAAAGTTCATTTTTCTATACTATGCATTTGAAAACACAGATACTAAAATAACTCTTAATAAATATTTCTATACGTATTTCTTAAAATTAAACTATATCATCAAAAGATATAAAAAAATGTTAACTGTATTAAATCACTGGAAAACGATAAACAAATACGTTCATCGCTAGTTCCAAATTGAATCCACAGAACTGAAAGCCAACGTTTTTGCAGCGGAATTCGATTAAAATATATCGGTACTAAATAAAACCACAGCTAGGCTTTGCCAGACCGACGCAAGGTCACATATCGTCCTATTTTAAGCGCAGCACTAAAATTCGACGAACATCAAATGGATTTCATCCAGGATGTTTGCACAGTTTGAGTGCCTGTGAAGCGAGCTTCACTGTCCGTTAAAATGACTATTTTTTCTTGTTTTTTTTTGGATTTACGGACAACTCTGGGCGTGTTTTTAGTGATGTCGAATTTAAAAATATAAATTGGAGCAAAAAATTTAGAATTCGGTTTTATCTGAGATAGCCTATTCATCGTATTGCACCGTTTATAAAACATAATTGATCTAAGTTCACCGTAGTAAATAAAATATGAAACGGATTTGGCTTCTTTTTATGTATTTTTGAAATACATTTACTAATATCATAAATGCGAAAGTTTAAATGGATGAATTGATAGATTTTTGATACAACGTGTTTCTAGAACAGTTTAACGGAACAATCCGGAAGGACATAATGTAGGCTAACCAACGACATCTAGTATATTAAAATACTGTAGGCTGTCAGTAGAAAAGTTTATGATAGATTTTAAAAATTCATTTGAACATTTTGATCACATAAAAACGACAACGAGGACCATAATATAGGACGCAGCTTTTTATTATGTTATAAAAAAAAAGGGCAACCGTACACTACAAATTGCTTATTATCCGGTCGTTTTCGAAACTCATTGTTACTTAATTTTTCCTTGTGTTAATCCGAGAACAATATTCATCACAGGTTTAATTGATTTTACTTCAAAATTATAGCAATAATGGAGATAGAATAATTATATCTGCTTCTAAATTACGGGCGCGGTGGCGGATTCAAGTTCTAATTGGCAAACACTAGTATATGTTGGACATGCAGACAGAGTTAGATAGTTTCCGGTGGAGGTATCTTATTCAACATACTCTGTGCTAATTGGCGGCGTAGAATTATTAATACCTATTACGTTGTAGATTCCTTGTTGTCAATAGTCCCATTTTGTTACATTTTCTTGAAAGACTGCTAAAGATAATTCGTGTAATGAGGAAAGAAAAGTATTTTTTACAATTATATGTAATTTTTTTTTACCATTATCAAAGTTATGTATCAAAATTGCGTGCCACTTCACCATATTTATATCTTGCAGATAGATCGAATATACTTGTGTCGCAATTTAAGTTCCAAGAGCTTGAAGGTATTATATTATACATACAAATGTAATGAATTACGTCATTTATTAAAAGGTCTAAACGGACGTTTTAGAACGGAACTGATTTGGTACCATAGAGTTAAGACGGTGGTTACGCAAGTTAAATGCCGTCACTTACAACTAGTTTTGTAACGTGTGCGTGTCTATAAGTAGGCTTAGTAAACGACCCATGCGATTGTTTTCAGTTCATATTACGCGTAATACAATGAACATTACGGTATCATTATCATGGGCGTCGCCAGAGACTGTTAGGGAGAGGAGTGCAGCCCCCTCTTGGGAATTGAAAAATGTAAAATTTATATAAAACCTATTTTCAAAAAGACCATAGTAATAGTAGCTATTTCATTTAATAAATTATTTTCGGCACATTTACTTATTTAGAAACTTTCTATTATTTTTTTTAGCATACCTAGCATACGGCTTTTATACATGAACTTTAGGACTTTAGTTTCTTCAAAGTTCTATGGCTTTCTATCACTATCATTTACCTTAATAAACTGGATGGATATAAACTGGACTTGTTTTAATGCTGTTCATTGATACTCAAAGAGCTATTCTATTCGTATTTACAACTGATTCCCCTTTCGTAGTATTATCGTTCTTGAGTTCTACGAAGCTTTGAAACTTAATCTTATTACGGCAGTAATAGTGTACTCGACATCGAGGAGCTCTAAGTTTACTAATCTTAACATAATATTTATATTACTTTCACTTAGATTTATAATAACCTTTACTAAGATGTTTTTATTAGCAGCTCTTTAAAATCTATACTAATATAATAAAGCGAAAACACACACTTCTTTGTTGCCTAAGTTGTCAGCAATCACAGCATGTTTTCGAATAACGCTTTTTTTAATAAAAATCCCTACATACTGCCGTTATACTTAGGGGTAAATATTTTGGATAAAAGCCCTAATGTGGGAAAAGGACCATAATTTATTGCCAACATCAAGGAATGTTTGACATCATGTCATGTCATTTTGACATATGCAATTGATAATTTGACAAATGTAAACAATCAAATGAAATTTTTATAATTTTATGCGGATGAAGTCGCACGGAAACAGCTAGTTGTATAAGATAAAAAATATTTGTGCTCCAATATTACTCTCCTAAAAAATTTTATTTTTATTGACTAGTACACATCTTTGAAATGAATAAATATTTCATGACTAAAAAATCCATTCGATCCGAAATAAAACCAATCCAAAATATTGCTACCGGGAATACAAACTGTAAAAAAGCACAACTTCAATTACTTGTTTTACAGCATAAAGGAAATAATTTAAAAGAATTTTCTTTAATAAAATTGGTTTCCAAAGGAAATCCTCCAGCTAAAGCGAGCTCTTGATTGCTAGATTCTTAAATCACTACAAAGTAAAATGAAGCGAGCTAACTGGCTTTGTAAAACGGTCTTGAAATAGAAATTATGCATTCGGATTAACCTTTGATTTTCTTTCTTTCACCCACCTGCAATATTTTTAATTTATTACGATAAAATTAATTATGACTTTAAAATATTTGTTAAGTATGTTAATATTTATTTAACACAATGCCCAATAAAGGATAGAGATTTTTTATATCAATAATCGGTAAACGAGCAAAAGGTCACCTGAAATGGCGAAGCGACCGATGCCCATAGACAAGGGCATCGGTCGTCGGATGTCTATCCAATATGCAAGCGTTGTCTATATTCAATCAACGGAGGAGAGGCCGCACTGATAATAGGACATTTCCCGTACATGTGTTCCCTCCCCTATTAAATCCACGTTCCTTTCATACAGTTTCCTTTACAACAGTAACCATTTAAATAATTAATTATTATTTTCAGTTGGCGATAATCCAAAGGAGATATCTTCTTGGATTTCAAATACGCAAGAAGCAAGTTACTACAGCATGGCTGTACATGGACAAACCTTCTTTCGACTTAACTACCCTCTCAAATTGAACATGTGAGTTATTACTTTCTATTTTTTCTCTTCCAAACAAATTTTATAATAGAAAGTTCTCAATTCGTCTGATTTTTTTGAATCATAATTTATACTTCATAACATGTATTATGAAAATATAAATAAAACGATTGCATAACAACTGTTGACTTTGTTCTGAATCCATAGTTACATTAAACGTTTAGGAACGGAGTTTCAAACTTTTCTGCAGCAAACCTAAACAATTTCAAATTTAAAATAATATCGTTGAAAACAACTTCGTTTGATTACGATGTATAGGGCCTTTGTGGCCTTTACCGTTCCAATTAACTCACGTAAAGTTTTCAAATGCAATCTAAATGGTTTAATTAGCTGTAGTTTATGTAAAATAAAACTCAGTCACAGGTTAATTCAATCACAAGTTCCTCAAATGTTAATTTAGAATAAAAACCAGTTTACGCCGGCAAAGGCAGTTGACAAAATTAAGGTTCATGTGACGTGGAGTCGGGAGGTTTAAACAATTTTGTGTAAAAATGTGATATTTAATAATTAATAGTGGATGTTGATTGTACAAAACATTTTTGTAAGTAATATGTGTTGCCGTTGACTATGGCTTAGTAACCCTGTATTAGGAAAGGCTTCGAGTCCCTCGGTGGGGACGTATAGTGAGCTGGTGATGATAAAGTAATTTGTGTAGTATGATACTAAGTAATGAAACTCTTTAACAAATATTACATTAATTTACTTTAACCTATTATAATAATCCCTCCAAAATAGATATCAAATTTGCACGTTCATAGCAAGCTTTGTCTCTGTGCCGCTTATCTACTTGTATAGCAATATTGCGTTAAGCTTTACGGAAATTGATTTGCGCCTGTACGATATTGATGAAACTTACATGAATACCTCCTGATACATATATCGTTGCATGCAATCTTGAAACTAAATTAAATCGATGACTACCACGTAAGGGTATTTCACATCACAATAATGTCATATGCGCATTTTAATTACTTGTATCTGTGTAAATTTTGGATTGAAAAAAAACTACTTATGAACCTTATACTCTTATTTTTAAAATTATGTGCAAGCCTTGAGGCAAGACATCCATCAATATTATTATAGTACCATTATAAGTGTTACGTAAAGCATGTTTCAATTCCTAGCCTGTCTATTTACAAACATTTTGATACGTGCGATTTCTCTTATGCAATGATCAACCTACTTACTTTATAAATAAAATAGAAATTTAACCATGAATGGTTTCTTTCAATATTTACCAACCATGTTAAAGGAGGTCAGTTGAAAAGTAAGACATCGATCAAGTCTTTTAGTCTTATAATATAATGTTAGAAGAAATAATGAAAAAAATAAAAAATTGTATTACAAACGTTGTTTATTACAAACGTACATAATTCCGTATAGTCGAAAAATTTATTAAAAATCCCTAAGTAACTCTACCCTTCAAAAAATATAAAACGCCTTATTTGTGGAAATTTTAGTTTTGCATGTTTCTTATTAGTTAAATATTTTTGCAGATGGTACCACGCATGCCAGTCTTGGAACGGTAAGACGGGTGAATGGCAGGTGTGGGTAAACGCCGAAAGAGTAGGCAGAGGGTTCCATAACCGAGTAAGTAACTATTGTCTTTAATGTCATTTAACATTTCATGAACAAGTTGAAACAATTCCGATATAGAATTAAAAAAATATGTGTAACTGGTACAAATATACTAAAGCGAATTTCAAGAACTTCTTTAGTCCTTTCCTAATATAAGGTTATTAAAATGTATAATTTACCCTTTTTTCCAATTATCCCCTTTTAGACACCGCGGCCGCGGTTTCTCAAAGGAGAAAAATATCGCTTCACAACAGTATCGTATTGTATTCTACCTTGATATCATTAAATATGAATATTGTTAATTATGTTTTAGCTTGTGGGCCATGTCATAAAAGGTGGCGGTGTAGCAATATCTGGGCAAGAGCAATCACTATTATATAAAAAGGACGGATTAGATCCCGTTATACGTAAGCAAATTTCAAATAACTATAAATGTAATTATAATACATCATTTTAATATGCCACTATTATTTCAGAACAATCTGGTTTAATGGGTGAAATCACGATGCTCCAACTGTACCACGTAGCATTAACAGCTGGAAAGGCGCACAAGGACCATAAACATCACCACGTCCATCACTTTAAACACGACGGTAGTCCGTTAGACCCACCAATGGAAACAGCCACCGAACCTCCCCCACCGCAACCCACTCACATAGGCAATGGAAACTTCCTAATCGGTGGTCAACTCCAGAGACCTTCTAATCTAAACCTAGCTGGAGCTCAACAACAAATGATACCCGTTCAACTGCCGAATGGTTTGCAAATACATCAGCAATATGTTAACGGTCAACTAGGCAATCGTGTTGTATCCGAGCAACTGTTAACTGGAGTACAAACACCGAATGGTTTAATAGGTGCCGCTTCCCAAATACCTTTAGTGGGTCTATCAATCTCGCCACTTTCGCAGAGCTCGAGCTATTCCCCTAGACAGGCACAAAGCTCAGCTTCAACGAAAACTTCAACTGTATTATTATCCAGTTCTTTACTAAATCCCGCTAACGTGCAGTACGTCGATGGACCTTCTCCACATAAAATATTCAGAAGAGATTCATTAAAAAGAGACAAGAGGGACAATCCAGAAAAAGCATTGATTGAAGAAAATACTTCAGGTAAGAATGAATTTGTATAATAATTTTCAAATACAATTCTCAGTAAAAATTGTAGCACCATCGAGGCATTAATAAGAAGTGGGCTCTAAATACATGAAACGTACTTGAAGAGCATACGTGATAGCTCTTTGTTCTGTCTGAGTGGATAGAAGAAAACATTTTGGTATAACGTTTATTTGATTTGAATTTTATGAAACGTTAACTTTTGCCTGAAACTCCGTCCATGTAAAATTAAAAAAAACAAAAGTGGGTAGACTATGGGTTCTTCCAGATAATCCACTACACTTCCAAATTTCATTGAGATCGGATTAGCCCTTTAGGCGGCTAAACATCCATCCATCCATCTAAACTTTTGCATTTATAACACTAGTAAAACATATTTTTTCTTAGGTAGGAAAGATAAGCGGGGTTTAGTATCGTTGTCCGATGGATCGATAGTAGATGAAGCGCTCCTAACTCCGAGTATTGTGGACGACAGTGAGGATGCTGTCTTCGAAAAATCCCTTCTACAAGGTCTTGCTGGAGTCGTCGGAAATGTACCCATACAGAATTTACAAAAACAAAATGTAAGCTGCTTGCAATTTAAACTTAAGTACGACTTACGAAACAAGTGAAAGCATTGCTTAAATCAAATTTATCGAATCCAAAAGCTTAAGTAATAGGCAATTGCTTTGAACATGTTGAAGGAATTGCTGAAGACAGCGATAAGGAAAACTTATGCAACCTAATGGTTCACATTTTGATGTAAAACGATGTTAAAACGAAATGGGAATTCAACAGCAATTTTAAAATATTTTTTTTTAATGTATTTCTGTCTTTCTGGATATTTTTTTAAGGAATCCAAGATTATGCGAAGAAAGTTTTTATTTAAAATTCGGGTCCTTTAACTTTAGGCCTACTGTTTCATCTGGTTAATTTGTAAAATATTGTTAATTTTTAGAGCGATGAGCGTGAACCGGCCGAGGCTGAAGTAACAGCCGTAATGCAAGTTTGCAGCGGCTGTGCGCAGGAGCCTTTCAAGAAGGCGCTAGTACTCTCGTGGAGGTCAACACCAAAGAAACTCTACAGTGGTGCACATTATTACAAAGGATTACCAATCTGTCGCGCTTTTTGATACACTTATGGATATTGACATATTATAATTTATAACCGTGGGTTCCCACACCCATTACACCTGCATAAAGATATTTTCTTATATCTGTTTGAAAAGAAACAGAGGTTTCTTTGCATGTTGCGGCAATGGCAACTCACGGTTACTTGCATTCACATATACATAATTCTTTGAAGTTATAATTGTTTATCCAGGGCAAATTCTTCGCAGTCCATTATTTGTTTGTCTGCATTTTTCGCTGAGAGATTAGATATCTGATATATTTTAGATAGTACTTGAATTGCCCATAATTCGGATTGTAAACAAAAATAACCCTGACTCTTTTGTTTTTTTAATGTAAAATTGACATCGTTAAAGAGGCTAATAATACTGCAAAGCTTTTTATACTTTGCTTGGATTGTTAGAGCCGATTTTATTTTATTTATTAGTAGTTTTAAGTATTTACATTGTTTATTCTTACTGTATGATTTAAAAATAATTTTAAGATTTTTACTGTCTTTAATATAAACCGTCGATATTTAGAAAACTATAAATCACAATTCAATTTATTTGATTTACTAATATCTTATTATCAAATAATATAAAACTTTGAAATACAATACAATTATTTTATAGACAATGCGTGTTAACAAGTGACTTGCTAATTATACGGAATTAAATAAATGTATTTAATTTATAAATCTTTATTCATTTTAAAAGTGATGTATTTGATTTCTCTTAAGTGGAGTTATGTGGAGGACGAAAACCTGTTACGCAGACCCTACGGGAGTAGGATATGGAAGATTATGATGATAATGTTTATGATTTCTTTTGTATAACTGTATGAAACAAATATCATGTATATGCCGCAATGTTTATTTTTCAGTGTAAACAAAGTTATTTAAATAACAAAACATTTCAGGCACAAATATTTTTTTATAACAAATATACGGATTTCAGGAAGGGCACTTTTCCGGAAATTTTCATAAGATGTTTTTTTTTAATTATCGAAAGTGTGTTATTTAAAAATTAATATAAAATTTTCCAACATTTTACTTTAGTTAAAAACATAGTAATGTAGTTACGCTTATTTTAGATAAGGCATTAAAAAAGTTGGAAGATAGGGACGGGAAGTGGAGGTTGATTGGCCAGTAGAGTAGACGCTTAGATAGGGGAAATTTTATCTTCCTATGCGATCTCTCGCCTAGAGATTAACGGTAGGCAACGCAACTTCAAAGTAAAATGCATTGGCAAAATCACTTCGGTATTTTGACGAATTCAAGTGGTCGTTAGACGTCATTTACTATAAAAATGGTCGAATAATTACATTCCAAGATGCAAGCCGCCCGCGTAATGATTCCATAATAATCTATGCACACTTTATAGGATTACGATAGCAAATGCTTATTAATAAACTTACCTTAGATTTATGAACATGATGGTGGTGGTACTCAGAATCGATTTCAGGCTCACTGAAGTAACTTTGGTCCTGAGAACAAAGCATAATAACGTTAGTATCTTGTTTGCTCTGCTTCCTCTATTCCTTTTAAAGTAAGCATTTCGTAAAAACAAAGATATAACAATACTTATTAAACTGTTCGAAAACAAATAAGTTTTAATAAAATCAAAACAAGAATTTCAAAAATAAACAACCAATACCAATATTTACTTGCTCGTTATGGCGTGATACCAATTTAGGTAATCCTACTAATTTCAATTTACGGAAATAAAGATGAAATTGCTAACATACCTGATCCCAATTCGATGTAGGCGGGCAGACAGTAGCACCAGCCGGCATGGAGACTGAACCGACGCCAACAGCGCCGGGAAATACGCCACCGCCGATGTCATTCGACTCGAACAGTCGAAGAACTGACCGGTCTCTTATATCATGAAGATGACTACTGTAGACAATAAAAAAAATGAAATATCAAGCCGAGAAGTGTGAATTATGCATGAAGTGTACACCGCAGCATTCTTCGAACATTGAAACATCAAGTTTAAAATAATAGTAAATGGATTTTTAAGTAACAATATAATTCATCACCATCATAGTTAGAAATCAACATCATCGCCATCAGTCCACTGAGCCCTTGAACAGTGTAATAACATCGCACACAATGCTAAGCAATTATTAATGCTTTGATAGATAATGTATACAAGTGTAAATGCATGTATATAATATGCATATTAACGCAAGTATGCATGTTAACACTCCAAGTGGCAGTCAACTTGAATTACGTTTGTGATTGGCGTCGTATGATAATAACAACGTTCATTGAAGTGGAACATCTTGCTACAAAGCCTCAATTTAATATATTAATCAATAGTAATTATCTGCAGGTTTCTCCTATCAAAACAGTTAATCTAATATCACAAATTCTTATCTATTCGTAAAATAACAAAACGTGTTTGTTGTGTAGGATGTCAACAATCATGACATACGACTATATTTGATTCTTTCACGCTTTAGGGTATATAATTTCACGCTATTAAACTTTGGGGGTCAGTGATTTGGTAAAACGACTTTGCGAGAAAGAGACAAAACAAAAAGCCAATAGCTGAAAAGGAGCAAGGTTGCCATTGGTTAGTTAAATTTTAACCAATTATAGCAAATAATTAAGGTTTCCATGATTACAAAAATTATCAGTCTAGAGCAATGGCCTTTCGTAGTCATTTGAGCGTTTGAATTTTGACATTCTGCAATTGAAAATTTTAAGGAATCTAAATAGTTTTTGTGCGCGTGCGCGTTTTTATGCGCGTGGAGACTCATGGGAACAGCTAGCCCCGAACATCGTAGAGCATCTGTGGCTTATTATATCTTTATTACAACATCCCCGCGAATGGGGAATCATAATTGTTGTAATTAAATCATTTTTGGCCAATTAATATAGATTTTCATTTACAAATGGTATTCTGTATTCTTTACGCATTAACACGACTACAAAAAAGTATCAAATTGTATGCATTATAATTTAAAATCTTAACAAAGATTTTACTTTTTAAGTAAAGACCCTTCATATGTTTAATACTCTCCGTATGTCTCGAGAGAAGCAATATATGATAAGTACTTAGGAAAATTCAATAAGAGGACGATCGAATGTAGCATTCATTTGTTTAAGCCTTCTTAACTTCGCAAATACCCTGAAGGAAATAGCAATAATATTAAACTCGCTGCTCAGTACAAAAGAACAAAGATGTAAAACGAACTCGTTTCCGAAGCTTCAGAAATGTACCAAAAGAAAAAAAAATAGATATTGCAGTATGAACCAATGTTACAATTATTTAACTTTGGGTAATATTTAAATGTTCCTGTGCTTTCTTTGTTAGTCATATTAAAACAAATCAAACATTTGAAGATTAATAAATAAATTTAGAGTCGCGAAAATCCGCGGTGTTTCACTTCAGGATAATATGCCTTCTTTATTACAACGAGAAGAACTCCGCCGCTTTCTACGAATAATTAGATAGCAGTGCAAACAAAGGGATAATAGTAAAAATAAACTAGCCGTATATCACTATCAAGCTTTTTTCGTACAGGTAGTTTTATAAGCTTTGTATTGGTTTTTGTACCACGACTCGTTTCAGAATTTTCAAATGTTCACCTTTTAAGGCCAGTTTCCCCGACTTCACCTAATCGATGAAGAATTGTTCATAAAATGTTTTTTTTTTCAAAATCCCTTGTACGTATCACAGTCACGAATACAATATCGGTTACTATACAACAACAAAGTGTTAATGGTAACTGGTCTCTCTCCGCCCCCTAAACCTTAAGCTCTCGTATTAACGTTATCAGCCGACATGGGTATATCCATGACACATATTACTATAATGTTTGATGAATAAAACTAAAAAAAAAGTGCCAGATGTAACAGATGACAATTAATAGAAGTGATTTGAACAGAGCAAAAAAAAATTTGAAACACCAATCGAATTCTGAAACTTTATAACTACGTTAAACATAATATTCTTGTAAATAAAATCTATTTAATAAAATATACTTACGGGCATCGGTCGTCACTTTTGTGAAGAAACTCTTTGCAGCCTTGCGGCAAACAATAACGTCTATTAAACATGATTCACGGGAAATCAGGGTTTGAACCCTACACCATAAAGCGTTTCGTATCGTACGATAATGCCAAGGCCGCGATAAATACTGGTGCACTTTTCCCACTGCACCCCATAGAGGGCGCAATAGGAACTGCGCAGCACTGCCCTAAATAGTCATGCCATGTCCTAGTTTTATGATAAGAATATAAATAATGGAACTTGTTTTGCATCTATTTTACTAATATCCCATCTCTCGGTGAAAGGTATAGGTAATCGTAACGAACAAAGACTGGATGAACACATAAATTACTTATTAAGTTGTTTTTTGCTATTTTGTGCGGACAATGTCGTGGACTTAAGTCAGTTTAAAGTATAAAATCAACAACACAAAACCAAATGATGAATATTTTATGTCATACGAAACACTAAATGTTAAAGAAAAAATAATATAAATAGTATCTAATGTGACGGAAATTACAACTTTATTGATATGAAGTAGACAAAATTAGTAAACAATATACTCGTATTTGATGTTATAGAGAAAAATAAACGTTTTTTGAGACTGAACTGCCACTGTTTACCTTGACGAGGCATTTACAGCTTCACCGGATTTGAGTTGACCGAGCGCAGATGGCGCTTAGCCTAAACCTAGTTTATGAGTAACTAAGCTCGAAGGCTTTCTCCGGAGCCTCGGCTCGGGCCGTTACTTCGTTTTTGGAGTTACTAGGCGCTCGCTCCATGGAGTTACTAGGCTCAACGGCCCCGCAAGAGGACCTCGGCTTGGGCGGTCACTCAATACGCGTTTAGCATCCCGATTCAAGGGTGCCCGAGAGGCCGAACTCCGGCTTGATGGATTGCTGCTATTTGATTACTATGTTCATATATCTTTATTTCTTATTCTCTATATAATATATTTTACAAGATTTGTATAAAAATATAATAAAACATGTTATATAAAAAATAGAGCACCACCGGCTGCGGAAACCGATGACTCAAGCAACTAGTGGTCAGGGCTGCAGAGACAGGAACCTCCTCACTATGCATGCGGTTTCTAAAATAACCGCCTTTTGAATCGGCCCCTTAATCCAACTATTATTATTATTATTATTACATCTAACATTACTACTACTTCGGAAAGCGTTTTCGGAGAAGGAGTGGCGGAAGAAACTCCAGCAATGCTTCTATCATTAATAGGAGAAAACCGTCCTGCTACGAGGCCGTATCGTGAGATTGATTACCGTAGTCAACAGCGACTACGCCGTGTTGTCTGTCTACGTAGTTTTGTAATCCTAGCTTAAGCGATTGTATTTGCATCGTCTTGGAAGTCAAGGACGTGCCTAGGTCTGCGATGATCACGTCGAAATTTACCGAGCGCGATTGGGTTGTAGGTCGCGACACCTACAATTATCGAATTAGGATGACCGACGGCAGAGTCAAAATAACGACGCGACGCCAGCTTCTTGTGTTGAGCTATGGTGGGGAAGTCCAAGTCCATGTAAAGATCACTATTGCGCATGTACTACGGTGCCTCCGTGGCTCTGCGAGAGAATCTACTCTGAATCACCTGAAGTCAGTATATTTGTATCGGCGAGATGTGCGCAAATACCGGGCTTGTGTACGTCATGACGGGACGCACTAATGATTTATAGAGTGTCACTTTATTCCGGATAGCCGTGTTCTTGCGTCTCAATAAGTCTTTGATGTCTGGTGATAACGACCAACGATGGTTATTCATCTCTGGGATCTGCCTTGAGCAGCCCTCTACGATGTTTTGAACAATACTTGCTAGAGAGCCGATCGCGAAAGTCATGTGTTTATCAGTATTTAGTTGATCAGGGAATGTCATGAGGAGAAGAACGTTAGTTATAAGTATGGAAGGGTAGGGGATCGGTAAAGGTAGACCTAGAAAGAGATGGATGGATTGCGTAAAAGGTAACATGATCAAAAAGGGTTGATGACTGAGATGACGTATGATAGAGTTATGTGGAGGACAAAAACCTGCTACGCCGACCCTACGGCAGTAGCATAAGAAGAAAGATTATGATGAGTTGATCAGGAATGGTATCCAAGTAGGATGAGTTGACAATTTTAAGCTTAGCGCTGATCTTGTGCCTATAGACTACTGTCCTAATTTGGGGAGCGGATAGCCCCCCACCAACGGTTCCCGCCTTGTCGTGGCCGTGGGGCTCAGTAGCCGCGGTACGTCCAGGGTCTCCGGACTGCGGTGAAGCCAAGAGGAACCATGGCCGGCTTAGCGGGGCAGGTCACGCCGGTTGGCCAACCGGCTGGCATGTCCCGCGACGCCGGTCTAGTGGAGAGGTCGCGCTGAGGCACCCACCCTGAGCGCGCCTCCTGGGCACTGCTGGCCCATGCGGCCAGCAGTTTTGGGGGGGAGGGGGGCCGCGGGGGCTGTGAGTTGTGCGGGATTATCCTGCCCTCTTGCAGCCCCCGTGGTCGGAGGAGGTGGGCCGTGGAGGCTGTGGGATGGATATGGTTTTGCCCTGTCCTCTCGCAGCCCTTGCGGTCGGAGTGAGGGGGCCGCGGGGGCTGTGAGTCGGGTGCCGGTCTATCCCGCCCTTCTTGCAGCCCTCGTGGCCGGAGGAGGTGCGGCCGCGGGGGCTGCGGGATGGATATGGTTCGCCCTGTCCTCTCGCAGCTCTCGTGGTCGGAGGAGGTGGGCCGCGGGGGCTGTGGGATGGATATGGTTTAGCCCTGTCCTCCCGCAGCCCTCGTGGTCGGGGTCGTGGGAGCGCGACTTCAGCACCACTCTGCTTTCAGAGATGGGCTTGATGGCGTGTGATCCTGCGCCCCACGCGTAATCCCGGTGGTTCATAACTGCCGGGGCCGCGGGCCCTATAGTCTTTCTCAAGACTGGGGCCACGAGGTGGGGTCTCTATAATCCCTGGCGGCAAAAGCGGGCGAGGCTGGGTCTCCGAACCTTCATTGCACGGTGCCGTCTACCGAGGGGCGCCTTAGGGCGCAGCGTCCCAATTCATTGGGACGCAACGAGGGCCCCTTCCCGGGGCGGTCAGTGGGGCGCCGCGATGGCAATCGCAAGCGATCCCGTGGCGTCCCACAAAATGGCCAGGAGGGAACGAAGGGGTTTAGTGAGGTTTGCCCCCCACTATGGGGGGAGAGTCCCACATAACTCTCGTGTCTGCCCAGAGGCATGGAGTATGCAGAAAGCATTCCCCTTCGGAAAAAAAAAGGTGCAGATAGCCCTAACCGTAGGAGGGCTGGCCGGTGATCCGATTGAAGCTCGTGAATCACCTTAACTTTGCATAAGTTAAGGTTAGTATTTGTGACGATTGCAATATCAAGCACTTCCGACGTGTGTCCCAATACGTGGGGATAGTGGGTTGGCTCTGTGGGAGCTACAATTTCAAAATCGAGTAAATCAGATAGTGAGTCGAGCGCACGGCCTCTTGCTTATTCTAGTTGAGTTCCATCGGGTGTAATAAACAAATGGGTCCCTATTCACTGTTATATGTGATCAGCACATATGCTGAGTGGCTTTAAATAAATAAATAAATATGTTTATGAAGCTCTTTGTATAACGCACATTGGACCTTGGTAGCGTACAACCTCTCCTGTGCTATCAAAGAGGTCCAGCTGTCTATTACCACTTTCAAATTTTTTTTAATTGAAACAAATGAATAAATAATTGTGAAAACGGTTTTTTACTTATTATTTTATTTATAAGAGTCGAGTTTAAAACTAGTTGGTACTTTTATGTATTGGTAATTTAGTTTCAGTGATTAGTTAAACTATTTGGAATTCATAAAGTATTTTTTGGTCTTTTTTTCCTCGTATTAACAAACTCATATCCAGAAAAATAAACAATCCATTTCTCTGATGGGTTTACCCTTCGTTAGAATAAAACTTGTTACAATTGGTTCAGTTCAGGCTAAATACATTTACTTTTTGCCCCATCGCATGTGTCAGTTGATTAAATATTCGCAGAATAATACGCAACATACTAGAAATCTTTGTTCTTTTTTAATGTGCTAAGGAATTAAAAAAATGGATTATTCGTAAATCTTCATAGGATTTGAACCTCAAAAAAAAGAAAGAAAAATATACAAGTTTCAGCAGTAGAAGTCTACGGTGTATCTTAAGATAAAGAACAGTCATTTAAAAAATTAAAAAATAACTTACCGCACATCCTCGAGTTCGTAAAACATATCCTTGTTGGAATCATGGATGTAAATCTTGACCATAGGTGATTCCATATATTGCATCGTCAGCTGTTTGGGGAAACTCCGCACGAACAAAGCCTTCACGGTGTCGATTGATGTTATCTCATTCGGCAGGAGAGCGCGCTTTGTCTCGTTTCTATATTGCAGGAAGACTAGACCTAAAGAAGAGTAAACTCCATTTGTAAAATAATATCGAAGACTTCAAACGGAGCCTCATTTTGTCAATAGCATTTTATAAACATTAAAAATAATTTGCAAAAAGGCATAAGTAAGTCATTGTAAAGCCCGATCTTAATGTTTACTGCCTACTATTTAGTAAACATATTTTTATGTACATTGCTGATTTAAAAAAGAAGCAGCGTTTTAATAGCTAAGAAACACCTACCCAGTGGGCGTTCTAGCGTTTTGCTCGGAGTTCTTACGACTGGTAATGAAGATCTTTGCTTGCCTCCGCGTCTGAAGCCAGTCGATGCTGTTTCCACTTCGGACATAACACCGGGATCATCTTCGAATAGAAGAGCATTGTTCGTCGGTGGATAATTTCGTGGCAGCGGATGCTGAAATTGAGATAAACTTGTACGCACTTTTTAGACAAGAGTCGGCAAAACGTTCACCCAGCCCAGCCCATCCAATGTTCAGTTTTCTACCTCGATCCTCCTATGAGTAGAATGTATAGGACATAAATGTTACTCTAACAAAGACCAGATATTCATTTCAGCCTACAATCGGCTAGACTTTTCCTTGGATTTGTAAAGTTGTAGTATTTTATAAAGCCGGATTTAAAAATGTTTTGTTTCCATCAACTATTAATCTACTTATAATAATGTCTGATCCATGAATTAACAATTACTCATATATTTGTTTTTTTTTTGGATTGGTGAGTCTACGGCGAAAATTAATGTAAGGGATTTTAAGATATTGTAAAGACGATAGTATAGATATGTATAGTATAACGACATTACTTGATCCTTATCTTTTATACTGTCAATTGACATATTGGTCAATTTACACATTGAACATGTTAATAATAAAGTATAAGCCACTCCGAGCAGTGAAAGACTTAACTAATACTATTTAGGACCGAGTTTTAAATTTCAGTTTGCTTGCATAACCTTACAGTATATTAAATACAGTATTACTTCGAACACAATGTTTAATCCAGTATATTTTCATTATTTGAAATCACAGGAGAAGAAAATCGCATGTTTTCTACGATTTTAATTATAACCTTATATCCGATATACACATTGTTTTCCCATTTATATTTACCATTTTAACAATGAAGCATTGTTTTCTCGTCGTTATTTAATAATCTATTGTAAGGTGTTCCTAACAGTTTACGTTGAAAACTAAATTGATGTTGTGTATGGAACAGTGTGATACAACGTGATCCTCAGTGATAAGACAGTAGATTATTAAAGCTTAATGTCTAGTTATTACTATACAGCATAAAATCTTAATTTTAAAACAACTAGTGTGGTCCGAATCCTGCTTTGAAGCAATCTGTTTTTCCTTTTCGAATTTATTATGTACATAAACTGTTAAACGTTGGTATGGTGAAAGAAAAAATTGTAAATAGTTAGCCAAACAGCAGTAGGCCAGCGTAGTTGACTATGGCCTAGTCTCTCTTAATTTAGATTATGTTCCGACCCCTCAGTTGGGACGTTTGGTGAGTTGATAATGATGATATGTAGGTTAAAGTTATTTAATGTTTCTGCAACACTATCAATTAGTATTTTTATGATCCCCAAAGCACCACTGGGGTTAAGTACTGCAAGTTGAAGACACAAGTAAATCGAAACCATTGATGTTATTTTCCAAAACCGGAAAGAGGGTTAAAAAGCGATACAAGACGTATGTATGTGCTTTGTACCTTTCTCAAACGAGGATCTAACATTTTCTGACTGACGTCACGATATTTGGTGACAGTCGCATATTCTGGCATGTTCTTTGAAGTGGTCGCGGGTGCAATACGCTGAAGAGCAATGAAAATAAGAAATAAACAAAAATTAAAAACTAATACCAAAAAAACTCAATAGCCAGAAATTACAAAAATTTATAAGAAACAAGAAAGACAAATAACAATCGATCAATTTAAAAAAATGGAGAAATTACAATAAAAAATAGACATGGCTTAAAATAAACAGACAAAAATGTTTTAGGGTTTATTAAAATCATTCATACATTCATGCTCTTGAATGGGTGCATACTAAATAACTCTGACATTGCAAAGTTGTAGTTTAGTTTACTTCATAATGTTTGGTAAATTTAAAATTTAACTAAGAATTTGAACCGACGATTTCCAGAGTTATACGGTGACACCAATTGAATTTTTCATCTTGATGCATATTCGATCAAACTACGACATAAGAGTACGAGGTAAACATTTAAATAGCAACCAATATAGTTGTGAAAATTATAGAGTAATTTAACTAACCTCAAGCTCCAAAGAATTGATTTGATTAGGGTGATGAGGATGCAGGTAGTGGTTACCCGCGAGAGTGTGCCGACGAGGATCCTCACGGCGCGACGGCCGGCCTCGTGGCGGCACCCGGCCCGCCTCTCCGTCCGACAGCCCACCTGAATAATATTAAATGATATACACAAAACCAACCAAACACGGCCGAGGATATTAATTACGGTTGTGCGAGGATGTTACCTATAGCTGTAAGATTAATAATTAACAAAACAATAATAAAATAAAAGGAAGAGGAAGTTTGAAAGTAGCGCCAGTGGTGGAGAAATTGAGAAGCAAAAGGTTAGCGTGGTATGGACATGTTATGTGACGAAATGATGGGGACATAAACCAGAAAGTGTTGAGATTGAGTGTGGATGGCTACAAAGGAAGAGGAAGACCGAAGAAAGTATGGATGGATTGTGTGAAAGAAGATATGCTTAAGAAAGGAGTGAATTCAGATATAACGGCTGATAGAGATGTATGGAAGACCAGCACATACTGTGCCGACCCTCCATAAGGGATAAGTGCAAGTGGATGATGATGATGAATAATAAAATAAAATTATTGAATGAAACAAGCGATGGTCTTATAACAGACATTACAAAAGTACTAAGTATTCAAACAAAGTACTAAGACAATACAATATCTGGAGAAGAACAGAAGTACATGGTGTAATAGAAATAAAGAATAATGGTGGTATCTATACACCACGGTGTAATAGAATACCAATATAATATTGCTTTTTTTGCGGCTTTTGCCGCTCTCATTACATAACGGTAACCTTGGGATACCTCAAGTGTTACTCCAGACTTTGTTTTCTATCTGTGCCGAATTTCAATGAGATATATTTAACCTTTGCACAATTACCGAGTACATATGAAATAACAGGTTAAGATACAGAAAGAGGTAGAGCATCAACCTGGAGAACTGTCGAAAAATTCTTTAGAATTCATTTAAATCTATACCTACGAGTATATCTATACAATATTATAAAGAGGAAAGATTTGTATTTTTGTATTTTTGTGTGTATTGAAATAACTCAAAAACTACTGGGCCGATTATAAAAATTCTTTTACCATCAGAAAGGTCATTTATCTGTGAGTAACATAGGCTATATTTTATTATTACTAATGTTTAGGAACTATTAATAAACAACGTGTTTCTGGACGCCAGCGTTAAAAATTCACTAAATTTTAGCTTTTCTCGGCTTACGCTGCCTAAACCGTTAGAGGTGTATAAAAATGAATTATGAAAGAATTGTAGATCTCAAAAAGTTCTACAGAAAATCCCCCGATAGCATATATCTATCTTTAACAGTTTTCTTACAATAACCACTTTTTTGTTTACAAATTGAATCAAAAACCGCACGCTATTTGCGGCGTTCTTTTATTGGTTTCAATATTAATCCTTATCCAAGTAAATGTGTTTGTTATCAGGAGAATTTAATGTAGAATAAAATTGTCCTTTACAGTATTTAAATTGGACTAATGGTTTAGAAGATACTGTGAACACAAACAATAAGGGTAACCGAAAAATCAGCTTACAAGCTACTGGGCTTAGAAATTTAGAATCTTGCATCGGTATATTTCTGTTATTACGTAGATTACTACTAAGTTAATGCTTTTGGTGATAGGTTGAAAATAAGGGCGATCATAAGTTTTGATCTTTCGAATTTCACGCAGACGAAGTCGAGGGCACAAGATAGTATAAAAAATTCTCTGTCATATTTTTTTATTAAGTACGACTTCTTTTTATTACTTATAAATATTTCTCAATAGGAGCAACGTTGTTTTTCTCTATAACTCAATTATTTCAACATATTATCAACTATACCAACCACATATTTGTGATTTTCTATACTCAAAATGCACGGATACATATTTGAAGGTAGAGAAACTCACAGTAAGTCATATATCGCAGGAGTCAATGTTCTCAGAGGTAGAGATTACTATACAACATGGAAATTTAAAATACGTATGTTCTTTATACATGAAAATATCTTGAAATGCATTGAAATACAGTAGTCGATACCAACTCAGTTGAATTCAAAGAAAATAGAGAAAGAAAGGCATTCTCTTCGATTCTATTATTACTAAGTAAGAAGATCAAAGACGGCGAAGGAAGGATGGCGTGCTCTTGCTGTTGCCTATGAAGACAGGATTTTAGGCCGAAGTTTAAGATTAGAAAGAAGAATGTATGTTACTCTTGATGACTTTTATGAATAGCTTGAAGAGATATATTAATGATGTGATGCCAACGGTACAAGATTTAGCCGATATTTGAAAAATAACCATAGGATTCATCGATAGCTGCGTTTCTTCTCGGGTGTGTGACTCCTAAATATGATAATATGATCCTCTCATGATGGCCATTAACAACTAGTCCAATCAAACTTTATTTCAGGTGCCAAAACTACCAACGGAGGGGAAATACAAGACAGACATAAAGTTAAATTTTCTGGGGTCATCCGATGATATATTCATCATCATACACTTGCCCTTATCCCTTACGGAGGGTCGGCACAGTATGTGCTGCTCTTCCATACATCTCTATCATCCGATTATGTAATCCTAAAACATATATATGAATATTATCCTGTAGATGTTAAGAAACAAAGTGTCGATGAGGGAGGGCAAATCATATTCTTTACTTATGTTATATACATATATAACATAAGAAAAGAATATGATTATATAACATATTTCATATGTTTACCTCTAATTATTAGTCTTATTGTTGTAAATTAAACCTACTTTATGTAAAGGTTGCACTGTAAGACTGGCTGTATACGATTATTTAAATAATGACATATGTTAATTTAAGTAAGTTGTTCGAAAAATAGAGTAAAGAACATGTTTTGAATAGTATAAAAATAATATCTTGTTTTTATACACAATTGCATTAATATTAATTTAAATGAGAATAAATAACAAACTTTATTTATTTAATCATTTCGTGTGCTGGCTAAACAAAATTCCTATCACTTACTAGTCTTATTATTATTGTTCAGACATTCCTTTTACACTTATAACTTCATTAAGCAATACACCCATCTTAGGCATGAAAAACATTAATAAAAACTTTCATCGCTCCTTTTATACAACTTAAGGTTTGAAAGGTGTCATAAAATCTATCTAATCTATCTATTTAAGTGACACTTATTTACATCCTTTAATATTTTACTACTAGGTTTGGATTTAAAAAATAAAACTTTAAAATTAAAAACTTGACTATGTTCTATGTCTATACCAAATTTCATTAACGTCTATAAAGACGTTCTGGAAATCCACTCTAACACCCATCCATCCATCCATTCATCCATTCATCTAAATTTTCAAGTTAATCTAATTAGTCAGATTTGCAGAAAGGTGCAATAAAAGACCAAACAAATGGATTGAATATTTAATAATTTCTACGGAGAAACTACGGAACATTTGATAGACTTTTCTCATAAACATGTGTTCTTTAATTTTGTATACTTCCAACAGTAAATAAACTTTTATACATTTTAACCAGAATTACTTTATTTGTCAAATTTAGATTAAATGAACTCTTTATTTTTAAATACATATTTAATTCACTAAAAATAACATTTGATCAAAATAAAATATCGAAAGAACTGTTATTCGTTTGAACTGTTTTTTCTTGTCTTGAATGCACCTGCCAAAAATTAGACGAAGACATCATCCACCATTGCGCCTGAAAGGAATGAAAATAAATTAGAACAGTTTAACTATCTTTCTTTTCTAGGGCTAAAGTCAGGATCTACGTCTAAGTCATTATCGCTTCACCACATTTATAATATTTGCTCAGTTTGACAGCAATCGACGGAAATTAAATAGACAAAACAAATAGATATAAAGCCAGTACAAGATAAATATTTAAAATGTTTTTTTTATCAAAAATTACACTTATACTAGCTTTCACGCGTCACCGTTCGCTAGGAAATAAAAAAAATTAGAAATCAGCCTATGTGATTTTCTAGACTATCTTTCACATCAGTGCCAAAATTCACCGAGATCCGTTCAGCGGTCTAGGCTACACACATTCATTCAAACTTTCGCATTTATAGTTATTACTATGTATTTGATATCCGTAAATATTATTTTTAACCATAGTCAGAAGTAATATTATGAAATTTTAATCTATACTCATATTACAAAGAGGAAAACTTTGTATTATTGTATGTATGTATTATTATTATTATCCTTCATATCTTTATTTTCTTATTTTTATATATATAATATTTCACATGATTTTTTTTAAATAACAAAATAATAATAATAATAATATTATTATTATTACAAAATAATAATAATATTATTATTATTTTTTTTGGGTGACACACTAGCAGCTAGTTAGCTGCTAGTTAGCTAGCTATTGAAATAACTCAAAAACTACTGGACCGATTTTAAAAATTCTTTCACCATCAGAAAGCTAATTTATCTGTGAGTAACATAGGCTATATTTTGTTATTACTAATGTTTAGGAACTATTAATAAACAGCGTGTTTCTGAACGCCGGCATTAAAAATCCTCTAAACTTTAACTTTTGTAGGCTTAAATAATGTATGAAAGAATTGTAGATCTTAAAAAGTTCTACAGAAAAGCATACATATATCTTTAACAGTTTTCTTACAATAACCACTTTTTTGTTTACAAAATGAATCAAAAACTATTTGTGGCGTTCTTTTATTGGTTTCAATATTAATCCTTATCCAAATAAATGTTTGTTATCAGGAGACTTCAATGTAGAATAAAATTATCCTTACAGTATTTAAATTGGAATAATAGTTTAGAAGATATCGCGAGCACAAACAATTAGGGTAACCGAAAAATCAGCTTACAAGCTAACGGGCTTAGAAATTTGGAATCTTGCATCGGTAGATTTCTGTTATTACATCGATTACTACTTTTGGTAAGTTAATACTTTTGGTAATATGTTGAAAAAAAGGGAGAAAGTAATAGGTTATATTTGTAATTTCACGCGGGCGAAGTCGCGAGCAACAGCTAATATATCATATAAATAATTTTCACGCGAAGCAAATGCACTGAGTTTTTATTTATTGTAGAAAGACAAAATATCACAAGAAACACACTGTTTTTTGAACAAAAAAATTATA